CCCTGCGTTTCGTCAGCCTGTGCTCCCAGGATGGTGTGATCAGTGCATCCAAACGACGCCAGCAATTTGTCAAGGATTGCCAGAAGAAGCTGGGGCTGGGAAGCGGGATGGAGTTCTACACTGAGTCCCATCTGGAGCCACACCAGAAGGCCATGCTTAACACCCGAGAAGCAGAGAGCCTGAATATCCAGTTTGCCTCTTTGGTTGTTACTCAGCTTTGCTTCGACAGTGGTGGGATGGGATGATACTTCCGTCTGCTCTTTCCAAGATCCCTTTTTGCCAAGCCACATTCTAACCATGTCATCTTAAGATTTTGACCAAGGGGAAACGACTTATAACTTCTAAGTTTGTAACGGTTTCTTGATTGACTTTGTCATGGTGGTTGGAAAAAAGACAGAAAAAAACAAAAAATGAGGAAAACAAATGAAAAAACACAGACCATCTCAGTATTGGTTCGGAACCGTTCGGAACCGTTCTGAACTATATATATATATTTTTGGCGAAGAGTAGTTCGGAACCGTTCGGAACCGTTCTGAACTATATATAAAAACAAGTTGCAGAAGTAGTTCAGAACCGTTCGGAACCGTTCTGAACTATATATAAAACATGCAGCAAATATAGTTCAGAACCGTTCGGAACCGTTCTGAACTATATAAAAGATATGCTTTAAATATAGTTCGGAACCGTTCGGAACCGTTCTGAACTATACATAAACTCTGTTTATATATAGTGCGGAACCGTTCGGAACCGTTCTGAACTATATATGCGTCCAAAACCTTTTTAGTTCCAATTAGTTCCGATTAGTTCCAAATAGTTCCAAATAGTTCCGATGTAAAAATAGTTCGGAACCGTTCGGAACCGTTCTGAACTATATATAAAACATGCAGCAAATATAGTTCGGAACCGTTCCGAACCGTTCTGAACTATATATAAGATATGTTAATAAGTAGTTCTGAACCGTTCGGAACCGTTCTGAACTATATCTTTGATTTATTTTTTATACATAGTTCGGAACCGTTCGGAACCGTTCTGAGCTTTATTACACTGCATGTTTTTATATATAGTTCGGAACCGTTCGGAACCGTTCTGAGCTATATTACACCGTATTTTTTTATGTATAGTTCGGAACCGTTCGGAACCGTTCTGAACTATCTTTGTCAGATTTTTGTTTTAGCCAATATTTTCTTGATTTTGAAAGTTAGTTTAGTTATGTTAAGTTATGAAATATAGGTTTTATATATAGTTCCAAAGGTTTTATATATAGTTCCAAGCTCTTACCCCCCTCAACACAAGCCATCAAATAAACAGGCCGCAGCACCCCCTAAGGGAAAAGTGAAAATTCCCTAGCTTGGAAGCCCCCACGGGGGAGAAAAGTGAAAATTCCCTAGCTTGGGGAGCCCCCACGGGGGGGAAAAAGTGAAAATTCCCTAGCTTGGGGAGCCCCCACAGGGGGGAAAAAGTGAAAATTCCCTAGCTTGGGGAGCCCCCACGGGGGGGAAAGTGAAAATTCCCTAGCTTGGGGAGCCCCCACGGGGGGGAAAAGTGAAAATTCCCTAGCTTGGGGAGCCCCCACGGGGGGGGAAAGTGAAAATTCTTAGCTTGGGGAGCCCCCACGGGGGAAAACCACCCTTAGCCCCTCTCACGGACCGAAATAAACCTGCGGTGTGGGCGGCCACCCCACGCGAAGCGGGGTGAATAAATAAATTCCCGGTCCTCGTACTTGACTACATACATATGATTAAAAAAGACATCACGCTCCCATTTCTTTCCGTATCTGCTGGAGGTTGCCCTAGTGAAACAGCAGCCAAAGATGGTCGCGGCTGCAAAAACACAATTGTCGAGGCAAATCTTGTCGTCATCTGTATGGTCAAGTATGCCCTCACCCTTGATGAGAAGTGACCCCCAGGAGCCTCTGAAGATTGATGTGGAGGTGGGAGAAATCGAAAAAGCCAGAGGCAAAATAGAAATCCAAGGAGCACAGCCAGCAGCAATCCAACGGTGAAGGCAGCAAGGAGGCTTGGGATCCCAGTGCCAAAGCAGAGAGCACCCCACCAATTGGTTTGAACTGCAGTTACAACCAAGCTAATTGCATTGGCAACCCAGTCCATCTAGTCTTGGGCATGGAACACATGTGTTTTGTATCCTATGTCTATGCTTTGGAAACATGTTGATGCCTGCGACTTTTCAAGATTTATCCAACAATTCTGCCAAGACCTGCTCAACAAAACTTCTGGCATTCTGCTGGATACCTTCCGACATTCTGCTAACGATTGGTCCAAGGGACAAGTGTGAAAATTGGAAGGCTCATTTTTGCCTGGCCGATGCAGCAGGCTACTGTGAGGGAACACCTCTCACATCCCAAGCATCCCAGACTGCGGGCTGCTTCATGACAAGCAATCAGCCCAACCCAAGAAGTCCAGGAAGTCTTACGGGTCTGGACCCCCCGTTTGATTGCAAGGGCAACGGTTGAAATTGCTACACATGCGTGGTCTGCCATGAAACTTACGGCCTTAGCCCTAGACTCTTAAATACAACCTCGTGCAAGGTTTCGCTGGTGCCAAACTTTAACAAAGCATGCCAGCTGCTTTTTGCAGATGCTCCTAGTAACCAGGACCAAAACGACTGAAACACATTGAAACTTGTGTGCAGTTGATCAGGGGCCTGGGCTTGGGAACACTTCTGAAGCTAGAGGGGTCAGAAATTGGATATCTGATATCTTCAAAAAGTCTACAAGTCATTCAGTAACTCATGCGGGCGACCCTCCCTAGGAGTCGTGGATTCAGTCGCAATCACATGCAACTCATGCCAAAGACTGCTGTATGAACCAGCTGGATGATCCTTGATGATAAAGCGACCGGAATTGTGCCCCAACAGTTTTTTACATCGGTGTTGCAACTCCCGCGCAGGAAAGCTGATGAAACACAGCGCCTCACTGGTGGTCAGTTCGAGCGGATTCGAAATCGGAAGGTTGTTTGAAGGAAATTGATCTCTGTCAACAACCTGCGCCCAGAGAAGCGAAATGCTTCAGCATGTTTGGGCACAAAACTAGAAACCACTATCAATCAAGAAAATGACGAGTTTGGGTTCTAGCTGAATGTTTCTTAGTTCTGCTGTGCCTTCACTCTTGTTTTGCTTCCGTAGTGTCCGAGTCTGGCGTTCCTGGCATGGAGGAATGGCTGAAACATGCCACGCACATGTTTCTGATCCCTCCTCTCTTCGGCCAAGCAAATCCAGAAGAAAAACGTTCCATGTTCGGCTTTTAAACCCGTTAAATCACAAAGGGCGTTTTCAGAGAGACCTGTTATATATATATATGCAAAAATATATCCGTGTGTGTGTGAACCATCTGAAGAGATATAAAACTTCTAATTTGGGATTCCTTTTCCGTGCTTTTTATAAATTTGCAGGGGGCAGGAGCGTCATGGCAAGCCTCCTGCCAACAAAGACACTTACCATCGGCGGTGATACCAGGCTTGGCCAGTCTGGCGTACCTGCACTGTTGTGATTACCTGTTGTTCAGGGCTTGCTTCCATTCAATTTTTATTTTGCAATCAGTGCGTGTGAATGGCAACCGGCTAAGCCCAGAACGGGCAAGACGATTTGTTTTTCACTTCACGTCTGCACTGTCGTCGCAATCTGCAAATTTCTTGACAGGGGAACGGTCAGCTTCCAATTCTATCAACTCCAGCACTGGCTATGGCGGCGGTAGCTTCTTGATGCTTTGTCGGGTCTCTTCACCGATCCATTCCTGTCAGGCGTCATGGATGTGTTTTTGCACGGAAGATGCGTTCCACGACAAAATTCGTGGATAACAGTTCTGAGCAAGTGTGCTACTCACGTCGGTTCGACAAGATGTCGTGAGGCCCGCTGTTTGGGGACCCACCTTTTGAATTTCAAAGGTCAGTAGTTGTCAGCTGCGCCCACCTTCCTTTTTTCAACGTTGCTCGAGAAAGTGATCAGCTTGTCCCGGCAAGTGCAAAATGATGGAATGCCCAGGCAGGTTGACTTTAGGTGTGGTTTTCTTTCTCTTCATGGTCTCTGGTGAGTTCAATTGTGCACCAAGTCGCGGGGTTGACCACTTAAGCCGTCCAGACGGTTGTGACTTGATGCGTGCTCCTCTCTTTAGGTAGGTTGGGTTCTGCGTGCTTAGGTAGGCTTAGGTTTCGCTGTGGTAGGTTGGTTTAGGCGCTTCCGTCTTCCCCCACCTCCGCCGGTCTTGTTCCGTTTCCGTCGGCCTCCGTTTTTTCTTTTCTTGCCCTTGCAGGGTTTGCCCGCTCTGGGCCAGGTGTGTTTGTGTTGGTGTTTTCTCCTTCCCTCTTCTTCTGCGTTCCCCTCCTCGTGTCCTGGTTGAAAAACTGTAACTGTCACCTCACTTCCATTTCCCTTTCATCTTCACCTTCATTTCATTTGTCGGAGCCTTAAAAAGCCCCGCAGCAGCGGGGCGTGTGTGTGTGTGTGTGAACCATCTGAAGAGACGTAAAACGTCTAATTTGGGATTCCTTTCAATGCTTTCCATAAATTTGCAGGGGGCAGGAGCGTCATGGCAAGCCTCCTGCCAACGAAGACACTTACCATCGGCGGTGATACCAGACTTGGCCAGTCTGGCGTACCTGCACTGTTGTGATTACCTGTTGTTCAGGGCTTGCTTCCATTCAATTTTTATTTTGCAATCAGTGCGTGTGAATGGCAACCGGCTAAGCCCAGAACGGGCAAGACGATTTGTTTTTCACTTCATGTCTGCACTGTCGTCGCAATCTGCAAATTTCTTGACAAGGGAATGGTCAGCTTCCAATTCTATCAACTCCAGCACTGGCTATGGCGATGGTAGCTTCTTGATACTTTGTCGGGTCTCTTCACCGATCCATTCCTGTCAGGTGTCATGGAAGTGTTTTTGCACGTAAGATGCATTCCACAACAAAAATCGCAATGATAGTTCTGAGCAAGTGTGTGTGTGCGCGCGCATATTCTATTGATTGATATGTGTCTTTCCTTGCTTGTTTTTAATCTTTATGCGCCAAAAAAGACGGTGTAACTTCGCTAATGCTGGCGGGCCACACTGCAGAGTCTGCGACAAGTTCCACTTGAAAATCTAGGATCGCACTCCAGTCATCGTTGCCCAGCAGTTTTACCTTAGCCGCGCGAAGTCCGTTTGTTGACACATGAACATATCCTTGGTCCTGTCGAACATTTGGCCGTCTAAATTTTGGCTAACCCAGATCCTTGATCATATGATGGACGTATCTATTCATCTATCTACCTATCTACCTATTTATCTATCGATCGATCGCTCGATCTAACTAATCTAATCTAATCTAATCTAACCTATCTATCTATCTAATCTATCTATCTATCTACCTATCTATCTACCTATCTATCTATCTATCTGTCTATCTGTCTGTCGATCTATCTATCTATCTATCTATCTATCTATCTATCTATCTATCTATCTATCTATCTATCTATCTAATCTATCTATCTATCTATCTATCTATCTAATTAATCTATCTATCTATCTGTCTAACTAATCCATCTATCTATCTAATTAATCTATCTGTCTATCGAATGAAAATATCTATCTATCTAATTCATCTATCTATCGATCTATCTATCTGTCTATCTACCTATCTATCTATCTACCTATCTATCTATCTACCTATCATCTATCGATCTTTCTATCTATCTGTCTATCTATCTACCTATCTAATTAATCTATCTATCTATCTTTCGATATATCTATCTGTTTATCTATCTATCTAATCTATCTATCTAAAATGTATCTATCTATCTATCTATGTATCTATCTATCTAATCTATCTATCTACCTATCTATCTATCTATCTGTCTATCTGTCTGTCGATCTATCTATCTATCTATCTATCTATCTATGTATCTATCTAATCTATCTATCTACCTATCTATCTATCTATCTAATCTAATCTAACCTAATCTAATCTAATCTATTCTAATCTAATCTAATCTATCGATCTATCTATCTATCTAATCTATCTAATCTATCTATCTCTCTACCTATCTAATTAATCTATCTATCTATCTTTCGATATATCTATCTATCTAATCTAATCTATCTAAAATATATCTATTTATCTATCTATCTATCTTTCTATCTATCTATGCAGCTATCTATCTATCTATCTATCTATTTATCTATCTATCCTCATCTATTTATCTAATCTAATCTCGCCTCATCTAACCTACTCTAATCTAATCTGATCTGATCTCATCTCTCTATCTCTCCATCTATCTAACAAACTAACTAACTAACTATCTATCTATGTATCCATCTATTTTTCCTAATCTAACCTAATCTCACCCAATCTAACCTACTCTAATCTAATCTAATCTGATCTTTCTATCTCACTACCTCTCTATCTCTCTATCTCTCTATCGTTCTATCTCTTTTTCTTTCTTTCTTTCTTTCTTTCTGTCTTTCTTTATTTCTTTCTTTCGTTCTTTCTTTCTTTCTTTCTTTCTTTTCCATCTATCTATGTATCTATCTATTTATCTATCTATCTATTTATCTATCTATCTATCTATCTAAAATATATCTATCTAAAATATATCCATCTATAATATCACTATCTATCTATCTACCTATCTACCTATCTATCTATCTGTCTGTCTATCTGTCTGTCGATCTATCTATCTATCTATCTATCTAATTAATCTATCTATCTATCTATCTGTCTATCTATCTATCTAACTAATCTATTTATCTATCTAATTAATCTATCTGTCTATCTAATTCATCTATCTATCTATCTAATTCATCTATCTATCTATCGATCTATCTATCTATCTATCTACCTACCTATCATCTATCGATCTTTCTATCTATCTATCTATCTGTCTATCTATCTATCTAACTAATCTATTTATCTATCTAATTAATCTATCTGTCTATCTAATTCATCTATCTATCTATCTAATTCATCTATCTATCTATCTATCTATCGATCTATCGATCTATCTATCTATCTATCTATCTAATTATCCTAATCTAATCTAATCTCATCTCATCTCGTCTAATCTAATCTAATCTTTCTATCTCTCTATCTATCTATCATAGACATCATAGACCTGCAAACTAGTGGGCAAGGAGATACACTCGCTACCTAGTCTGCTTCGCACTTCCCTTGTGCACACTTTCTGCAATCCCTCAGGGACAGGTGTAATTCAATGTAAGCCACAATAGAACTGCACTGATGGCATGTTCGAAAACAACAGGGCAATTTCACCCCGAAGCATGCCCACCCCCCGCGACGGACCGGAGTCGAAGCCCAACTTCTTGGGGGAGTTAGGCCAATGCAAAACTAAGGTGGTTTATTGCAGTTCACATATCGGCCACTCACCTATTGAACAAGCTTGTTGCTGTCTGAGATGCTGAGATCGGCTCCACTCCATCTCCAACACCAAAGTACACAGTGCCACTGGCCTGCTCGTATGTCTCGCCTGCCTTGTCAGCATGGGGGCGGCATCTGCTTTTCCTACCATTTAATTTCAGGCTTATGAACCACTCTTTCCCGGCAGAGAAGTAGCATACATTGTATCATACATAGTGGTACATTGCCAACAACGGATTTGAAAGTTATGGTCGTGGTCCAACACAAATTTCGCTTTACCCTTTCTAGTCGTCTTATGCCAAGGCTTGAAGATTTGCAAGTGTAATGATGGCTTTGTGGTCAAGGTAATTCGTTTCTTGGTTTCCTAGATTCCTAGATCTGATTGCAGGAGAAGTCCCCATCAGTATTTGATCAAAGATTTCAACCAGCCCGCCTTCAAAACACTGCAAATCTCTTGGTGAATATGAGAAATCTATTCAAAGTCCTTAAAAATATCCCACAAACTATCCTGGCATTCGCAGTCTGTAGGAGGGAAACGTACCGACGTTGAAGGTTGCAATTCGTTGCTCCTGTTCACGTGGTTTCCTCTTGGCATCTTCCAAGGCCAAGCCAACTTCGGCTATCGTGTTCTGCGCGCTGAGGCCCAAACCTTTCCAGCTCCATCCTGCGTGCTTTCCAGGAAACCAATCCCCAAACCCAACCATTCCACTCACTATTGACAACACATATCACTTATCGTGCGTTACACCTTGTGTTTACACCTTCTGTTCCCTTGTCATATCTTGCTGCCCAGTTTTTTGATCTTGCAGGCCTTGGTTCTCCAGCTCACCTGTGAGGGCCGGGACTGGTCTCCTGAAGCTGTCGAGGCTGAAGTGGCATAGCAACAACAGTTCAACAACCAAAAAAAAACAAACAGGACCACACCATGACACATTGACCCGGCAAAAGGACAAAAACATCTCGGCACCCAAACTCTGAATCGCCCTACAGCGCTCCTAGTCGGATGATGTCCAAATGAGCAATGCCCTCCTCTTCGTCAGCTACATAAACGTATGCAGAAAACCTCCGCTGTCAAGTGCTGAATCATCGTGAAAACTGTAAGCGCTTTGGACCCCTTCGCTAGGCCGCTAGGCTATGCCAAAACAATGCTGCAAAACAACGGGCTAAAAATTGCTTAAGGATCTTAAGGATATGATGATCCCGCCGGAGGATGGGATGCCAAACAGCCAGCGCCCGGTCAAAAGCAGAGAGGAAAGAAAGGATCTTTAGGTGGGAAGTGGAATGTCGCTATAGTCCAGCCACAAAACATAAAGCCCACAAAAACACCACCACTTTGCAACGGTTAACACTTTGGACAGTATGTCTCAGTATAGGCTTACAAGTAGTTCCCGGTTTTTGAAACGCTTATAGCCTATAGAGCGGAGCAAAGTCTGTGCCTATAGGTGACTGACAAGACTCCTGTGCTTCGCAGCAACAAGCTCTCGACTTGTCAATCTGATGCCATGCCTTTTGAACGCTGAATCTTTTATCATTTCATCTGATCTCATTGCATCGCACGTTCTCCTGGAAATTGCTCCTTGCATCCGGCTGTCACCGCAGTCTGTGTCATCCCATCTCATCTCATCTCATGTCTTCTCTGCTTTTTTTCAGCTCATCTCATCTCATCCATTCTCATCTCACCTCATCTTATTCAATGTCGCCTCATGTCAATTTCATCTAGTTGTCTCATTTCAACATCACCTCATGTCATCTCATTCACCAGAAAGAAATCGTAGAAACCCAGGATCTCATTGCATCTCATTGCATCTGCTGTAACTGCAGCTCGGTCGATGCATGCAGCTCACTTCATGTCATTTCACTTCCTCATGGTTTGTCGTCTCATGCCATTTGCCATCTTGTCTTGTGACAATCTTTTTTCATGCTTTGTCTTGTCTGAGCCAATCCCATCTCAGCTCATTCGATGTCATTTCATCCTCCTCGGAATCAACCTGCTCTCTTGTGGTATTTCATGCTTGTTCATCTCATGTCAAAGCACCTGATCTCTCATCTGACTTTTTCCTCCACTTGCCATTCAATCTCTTTCCCGTCCCAACGAGACACCGCAGCAGCTTTTCCATGCGGACGGCAAGAAAAGTTCAGAGTAGGCGTAAGCGCGGTCCGCAACGACGTACGCAGTCAGGCGGTTCATTGCGCGGTTCGCAACGACGCACGCAATCACTCTTCTGCCGAGCAAAACCATGCGTCAATGGCACCCAATTGGATCTCGCCGACGCGTCTTGCGGCCTGTCCTACATGGCATTGCGCCTCGCGAATGCCGGGTCTCTGATCCGTGGATGCCTTGGGATCGAAAGGTAAAACTGATGACCGTGCGTAGGATTGCTTGCAGCCGCGGAGGACGCTGCTGGGGTGGATCCATCTCCGATGATGCTTGCATACATGTTATCGAGCTGGAGTGCACCGATGGCAACATCCATGACGTCAGATCGAACGCTCTCGGCTGCCTGGCGCACAACTTCTTGCTGTGCCAGCGTGCAGTACGGCAGTCGTTTTTCGAATTGGTCAGCGAGGAGCTGGCGATGCGCAACTTCTGCAGCCATGGCTAACCCGCGGAAGGTAGTAGCCTGCCAACAGTTACGCGGGCTGCAACGCCGCACGCAACCGTGACAGTGGAATCCTAACTTCAAACACAGATGACTCTTCTATGATGCTTTTTTCCCGAGAGCGTCTGAGCGAAGGGTTCTTCTAAAAGTGGAGGTCTGCTATACATCCTCACATGCTCACATCTTCACATCCCTACATGTTCACATACTCACATCTTCACTTCTTTGCAAACTCACATCTTCACATCTTCACGTCTTCACGTCTTCACATCTTCACATGTTCATCATCTTCTTACCTTCACATACTCACATCTTCATATTTTCACATCTCCTCTCTCTCTCTCTCTCTCTCTTGCCCTCTGTCACGGTCTCTCTCCTTCTTTTTCTTCTCTCTCTCAATGCCGCAGGCAGTGCCGACAAGGCGCCACGATATGGCCAGCCTTTCGCAGGAAATGAAGTTCGAGTGTCAAAAACTGATGGTTTTTGCGATTTTACATCCTCCGCGGCAACCCTTTCGCACGAAAAAAGGTTCGAGTGTCTTTTTTGCGATTTTACATCCTCCGCGGCGACCCTTTCGCACGAAACGAGGTTCGAGTGTCAAAAACTCGCTCATGATCCTCCTGCCGCCCGGCCTGCCCAGCGGATCAGCGGATCAGCAAACCAGCGGATCAGCGGATCAGCGGACCAACGGATCAGCGGATCAGCGGATAAGCGGGTCAGCGGACCAGCGGATCAGCGGATCAGCGGACTAGCGGATCAGCGGACCAGCAGATCAGCGGAGCCTGGGCAGCGGGTCAGCAGATGAGCTGATATCTATTCAACTCATCGAACTCTTGTGGTGCTGCGCTCCCAACTTTTATCGGGGCTTCCGCTTGCACCACGCTCTGAGTGCTAAGCTCTTCATGATCAGTTCCTTTCTCAACTTCCACCACTGTCGTAATGTTGCTCTGGCAACTTTCTCTTGGAATGTAATGCTACACGCTTGACTATCTCTTAGAACTTCCAGCGCGCTCTTCATGTTACTTCTTTTTGTTGCTTGGAACAGTCCGAAAACCTTTTGATGCTAAGCTCCGCGCCCGCTCCTGGAACTTCCAAGACGCTCTTGATATTTCTCTTTGAATTTTGTCTTGGAACAGCCGAAGAAGCTCAAGATGCTACGCTCTTGCTTTCTCTTGGAACATTCCGGCGCGCTCTTGCTTCCAACACACTTTAAATGCTCTCCGAATTTTCTCCTGGGGCAGTCCGGTGCTCTCTTGCTGCTAAGCTCTTAACCCCAACACTCATTGATTCTACACTACTAACTTTTTCTCGGCTTATTTCAGAACGATCTTGGTGCTAGGGTCTTAACTTGCTCTTACCATGTCGAAAATGCTCTCGATGGCGCGATGTGCGAGACCTCAAAAACTGAAAGCTGAAGATGTGAAAACGAGGCTTTCGTGTGAGACCTCACTCAAAATCTGAAAGTGGAAGATGTGAAAACGAAGCTTTCGTGCGAGACCTTCCTCTAAAACTGAAAGCTGAAGATGTGAAAACGAAGCTTTCGCGCAAGATCTCCCTCAAAATCTGAAAGTGGAAGATGTGAAAACGAAGCTTTCGCGCGAGACCTCCCTCAAAAACTCAAAGCTGAAGATGTGAAAACGCAGCTAAATCTGAAAGTGGAAGATGTGAAAACGAAGCCTTCGTGCGAGACCTCCCTCCAAAAAGTGAAAGTGGCAGATGTGAAAACGAAGCTTTCGCGCAATACCTCCCTCAAAATCTGAAAGTGGAAGATGTGAAAACGAAGCTTTCGTGCGAGACCTTCCTCTAAAACTGAAAGCTGAAGATGTGAAAACGAAGCTTTCGCGCGAGACCTCCCTCCAAAAAAAGTGCAAGTGGAAGATGTGAAAACGAAGCTTTCGCGCGAGACCTCCCTCAAAATCCGAAAGTGGAAGATGTAAAAACGAAGCCTTCGTGCGAGACCTCCCTCCAAAAAGTGAAAGTGGAAGATGTGAAAACAAAGCTTTCGCACGAGACCTCCCTCAAAATCTGAAAGTGGAAGATGTGAAAGCAAGGCTTTCGTGCGAGACCTCCCTCAAAACTGAAAGTGGAAGATGTGAAAACGAGGCTTTCGTGCAAAAACTCCCTCAAAATCTGAAAGTGGAAGATGTGAAAACGAGGCTTTCGTGAAGGACCTCCCTCAAAACTGAAAGCTGCAGATGTGAAAACGAAGCTTTCGCGCGAGACCTCCCTCAAAATCTGAAAGCGGAAGATGTGAAGACGAGGCTTTCGCGCGAGACCCCCCTCAAAATCTGAAAGTGGAAGATGTGAAAACGAGGCTTTCGCGCGAGACCTCCTTCAAAATCTGAAAGTGGAAGATGTGAAAACGAGGCTTTCGTGCGAGACCTCCCTCAAAATCTGAAAGGGGAAGATGTGAAGACGAGGCTTTCGCGCGAGACCCCCCTCAAAATCTGAAAGTGGAAGATGTGAAAACGAGGCTTTCGCGCGAGACCTGCCTCCAAATCTGAAAGTGGAAGATGTGAAAACGAGGCTTTCGTGCGAGACCTCCCTCAAAACTGAAAGCTGCAGATGTGAAAACGAAGCTTTCGCGCGAGACCTCCCTCAAAATCTGAAAGGGGAAGATGTGAAGACGAGGCTTTCGCGCGAGACCCCCTCAAAATCTGAAAGTGGAAGATGTGAAAACGAGGCTTTCGCGCGAGACCTCCCTCCAAATCTGAAAGTGGAAGATGTGAAAACGAGGCTTTTGTGCGAGACCTCCCTCAAAACTGAAAGCTGCAGATGTGAAAACGAAGCTTTTGCTTTGACATCTCTTTGCTCGGACAACCCTTTGCTCTGACATTCCTTTGCTCTGACATCCCTTGGCTTTGACATCTCTTTGCTCTGACATCCCTCTACATTGACGCCCCTTTGCTTTGACATCCCTTTGCTTTGACATCTCTTTGCTCTGTTTGCTCTGACATCCCTGTTCTGTGACATTCTAAAGATCCGCACCACGGAAGTTAGACCTTCAAACTTCCTTTGACAACATCTTACACCTGCAGTTGCAAAACCATCGCTAGCCTGACTCAGAATCGACGGCAACTACACAATTACTCGCCGAATACAAGGGACCAAAATGGGCCAAAGCCCTTTGCTGGGATACAGGGCTAAATCCCGAACCCAAATCATGCTGAGGCAAGAAGTACTAATTACGAGTCTATGCATGGGTCTACGCGGAACAATGTAAAAACTCACAAACACATGCAATCTCATATTTTGCCAGCTGAGGGATTTGTGTCGACACAGAGGGTGTCAGTTGGAACAGCATTAACCCAGCTTTGCAACCCAACAGCAGGTTCCAGGGTTCCAAGGTTGCAATGTTATAGGGCAAGGTTTCAAGGGTTCCAGCAAGGTTCCAGGACTGTTCCAATTTTTCGGGGCGTGCATTTTCGTGTCACCACTCCCCGGCCCCAGAGATTGAAACCCAACAGATTCGCTGCTGGGAATTTACACCATCTCTGAACGAAAGGCCCATTCGAAGACTCAAGTCTTGTGACAGAAAGTCTGCATCTTCATCTTTAGGAGTGGGTTGGGGTAGAGTCCGGGACCCGAATTCGCTGACAACCCTCGGGGCAAACATCACAAACCAACCATCATTGACCATGGCCATCGACCATAGCCATCGACCATGGCTACAGATCATCAGCGACCATCCCACTGCTCCCCATCGCTCCCATCGCCAGGTTGCTGCACCGTGGGTGCGGAGATTTTGACAGGTGCTTCCTCTGCAGCGTTCGTCTCATCTGTGGGAGACAGGACTGGCCAGTCTCCGGATGGGCTTGGCCGGCTGCCAGTTGGAGACCTCGGCAAGCGTAGTGGCGGGTAGCGTCGGAGATGGCTTCAGCCACTGTGGAGAAAATTGTTTTGCCTCACGGCTGTCGCGGTGGTTCTCTCTTTGTACACTTTCATCTTGAGGAGTCGATTGGACTGGACTGAGCTGCGAGCTTTTCCATGTGTTGCGCATTCACATTGGAAGTCACAGCCGGTTTTTCTCGCATGTTTTTCTCATATTCCTCAGATGCTTCAAGTCCACTCCAAGCCGATGCTGTTTCGGAGCCTCCTGCGGAAAAAAAAACACATCTTCCCCTACCCCAATCTGGCTAGTGAGCTTGTCAAACTACAAATCCAAATGCCAAGCTATCATTTTAAGCTGCTCGAAATCAAAGTTTCCCTTGAAACCGACTTGCCAGCCAAGGCACCTGAACACGTTCAAGGATGTAGGGGCGGTCTGAGAACAATTTGCCCAAAATCTGGAAAACCTGCAAAATCACCAGATGTCGCTTCAGCTGTCTTCAATCTGAAGTTCAAATGATCAACTACCTGGCAATAAGCTTGGCATAGCACGATCAAAGGCTTGGAAGGAGAATCTCTGGCAAAGCCGGGGTGGCTTCATAACGATTAAAGCACATGCACCATTTTCATCACAAGAAAATACATGATCTCGGTGGAAGGTCATCGAAGGAAGTTTAGAAGTCAAACTTCCGACAATATGGACAGATGAAAAGCAGAGCAGGGAAGAGGCAGAGAGAAGAAAAAGATCAGAAGGAAAGAAGATGGAGATGCGCGAAAAGGTAGGAAAATCGCGAAACACTGTGTTTTTCCAATGATTTGGGGCTCCGGAGGGTCGAAAAGTAGGCTCGCTAAAGCGGCGGGTGCGGGGTGCGGAGCCAGCTGGCCAGATGAGAGATGAAAAAGTGCACGCCGCTGTGGCGCGAAGCACATTTCCAAGTCAAAATGTACAAAGCACATCAAAACACTAGGGGTGCGGACCACTTTTGGCAGTTGAGATGTCGAAAAAGTGCACGCCGTTGTGGCGCGAAGCACATTTCCAAGTCAGAGTCAAAATGTGCAAAACACTAGGGGTGCGGACCACTTTTGGCAGTTGAGATGTCGAAAAAGTGCACGCCGTTGTGGCGCGAAGCACATGTCCAAGTCAAAATGCACAAAGCACACCAGGTTCGGACCACTTTTGGAAGTTGCGATGTCGAAAAAGTGCACGCCGT